AGCGCCGCCGCGCTCCCAAGCGGCGCACTGTAGCAGTGTGCCACCGGGCCGGCCCCAGAGTGTACCTTTTAAATTAATAGTAGATATAGGAAATATTTATTTGAAATAGAGATAATTTTTTAGTTTCTTTTTAAAATTACCTTCGTATTTATAACCTCCTGTTAATACAGTAAAAACTCAGCTAGTAAGTGAGAAACTTATAGGACCCTAGTAATAGTTTTCTTTATTAAATACATCTTAAATGTAAATTTTTTAAAACTAAAAAGTAAATTTTTTAAAACTTAAAAGTAAATTTTTTACTTTTAAGAAAAGTAAAGGCAATGCTGTTGTTTTACCTTTTTTTTTCACCAGAATAATATGTTCTGTAGCTTATTTGATGGAGTATTACATTAAATCTGACATCATTTATAAACACATCTCACTTTTTCCCTCTGTGCGAAAAATAATTATTGAAGTCACTAATATCATATGTACTTTTTGTAGATAATTGTATAAATATTCATATGCACACTTATGCAAAAACACCCTCTTTGGGAATAACATATCTTTTGTCATAATATTCGAAATGGCATTTAGAAGATATAACAGGATATTCTAATTTATGGTTTTTCAGGAATAGTGTGCTTTTAGTTTGCCCATCATATTTCTGTCATTTGAAATCCTTAGTTTGTATTTGTGGAAATAAACCACTTAGTATTTTGAATTTTGCCATATGAAAGTTACAGTTTTGTTCAAGTAGCAAAAAAGTAATGTTAATGAAATGATATCACTTAAAATAATAAAAGCTCTTTTTAAAAGGGCAGGGTATGAAGGTGGTTAAGCTGGAAATTTTGGTTCTTTCAGAACAATTTATTGTTAGGGGCTGATTTTAGAAAAATATACTATTTTTATAAGAAAAACCATTTTGATCCATAGTTCTTGGTTTTCTTTTGTATCTAAATCCAAGACATTTTTGTACCTCTTTTTTTGGAAAATAATAAAATTAAATTGTAGTTAAAATATCACACACAGTTTTTACATTTCCGTATGAGTACAAATATTATTTAGTTGCCTTTTTATCAAAGATAAAGCATTTGCTAAAGTAATATATTTATGTTGCATCTAAAACATCTATAGTAGAGATACATGTTTATAAATACTGTTATAAAAATAAAGTATTACTTTATTTTCTAGGTAATTCAGAGACTAATTATATACATAAAATGTTTATTATTTAAAGCCAAATACTACTTATGTATATGTAATGTTTACTATTAGCACCCTAAATAAAGCCTGCAATTATTTGTTTTAAAGAAGCAACATGCCTGGAAGAGAACTATGAGGAAGAATCTACAAATTCTGGATTGTCCATTCCACTTGATAGCATCATATCTGATCTTGAAAAATCTCTTGGAACAGCTTTATCTTCAATATTAGAAACAGAAATGAAAATTGCTTTTGGAAACCTCTGGATGGAGGTGATTAGTTCAACTCTTTTAGTTGAAACTTTCTTTTCATTGCTGAAGATTTGTTATTTTAAGAAATATTATTTGTATAAAATGCATAAGCTCCCTTGTAACAATCTGTACCACATTAAGTTTTTCTTCAAGTTTTTTTTTTTTCCTTTTTGTCTTTTTTCGTGACCGGCAACGGATCGCAACCCTCAG